AGTTGCCAGCGAACCTATAAGAAAACTTGTCAAAACTGGTTTGGTTAGACCAGTTTGACCTGGTCCATTTTTAAAAGAAAAAATAATTTTTGATATGTCTAAAACTATTTTTAATATAAATATTTTGAAAATGAAATACTGGTTCAATCTTTTCAACAACTTGTTGGATCAGTGAACTACTGAATCAATAGTTTGACCTGTTCTATATATGATCGGTCTGATTTTCAGAATCTTGATAATAAGAGATCATTCAGTGATTATCAAACGACAAGATCTTGGATGCATGGTGTCGATTGTTTCGATATAATACATGGTCTTACCGGTTACTCACCCACAAAATTATGAATTGGGAAGTGAAAGAACTATTAGCCATTGTATATGAATTCAATAGTAAAAAACTCAATCAAAACTCAAAATTTATTCAACTTTAACTCTATTTTAACTCAACTTCACTATCTTTAATATTATCAATATAATTAAATAATATCAACCAATCATTCTTACACATCATATCAACTTTAATTCACTATTCATCCACTCACATAATTATAACTAACCATCACTTCCAATCATTTTTTCCTATTTTACATCAAATCAACTTTAACTATTTTATTTAAATATTATTTTAATATATCTACAAACAAGTAACTATATCACATTTTTACAAAATTAACTATAGTTAAAAAATAAATCAAATAAAAACTAGTTCGATCCATAAACAATCACCCCCTACTAATAACTGGGCTTAGCTGAAAAGGTTTTGAGTTTCCGAAGCTCAAGAAAGAATGCCAGCGTGCACACGCACACGCGCATACTAATAAATAAAGTTACTACGTAGTACGTACGTACGTACCTTGGGCTGGCTGATATCATAACGACCTTCCGAAAGAGGTCCGGGCGGAAAATGGATGAGACAGCAGCCGCCATAGAGGAGAGAGAGTGGCCGACATAGATGCATTTGGTGACGTGAAAGTCATCCAAGATAGCGATGAGGTCATTGGAATGGCCTTCCAAGCTGGAGTAGCGCTCGAAATCGTAGCAGTCCGGGTTGGTGGTGCCTGCCCCCATGTTGTCGTACAGCAAAACCCTGTACTCGTCCGTCAGGTACGGTACAAGCTGCTTCCACACCGATTGGTCAGTCCCGAAACCGTGCCCAAGCACCACCGTGGTCTCACCCGACCCTAAAACCCTCACGTTGTGAGCTGACCCGACTGTGCTCATCTTTTAATTTCCTTTATTATGTCTCTTCTTTTATGGAGTGGTACTTCTATTTGTGCTCTAACTATGAGTGCTTTTATTTATAAATGGTGCATATGAATATGATATTTAGTGTTGACTTGATTCCTTTTCCTCACTTGGTTGGGAATTAGGACGCTCGGGGAGTTGCGAGTTTGGGTGTTGGTTGCCAACTGAGAAGCACACTTCTGTCAGCTTTATTATTATATTATTTTTAAATATTTTTTTTAAATGTAACATATTATCGGAAAATGTTACAATTCTGTCACGGAATGGTTCAGTGAGAGATTTTAGCCTTTATATATATATATGTGAGTTAATTAGATAATCTATGGCTAAAATTCCTTATGGAATCATTCCGTGACGAGACTGTAGTACTATTTTTCCAGATTATCATATACACAGTGTAGATAATATGCATAGTGTACGTATATATGTCTTCCATGACCATATTCTTCGTTATTTTTTTTTTTTTGTCTGTTGATTGTATGATTTTGATGCGTCACATGTGATTTACTGGATAGTTGGTGGCGATGTTCGACGTCCGTTAATGAGGAGACGTGTCTTAAATGGTCAACTCATTATTGGAGTATACGACAGTTACTAGAATTGAGAGAGAAACATGTGAAAAGGCTCGTCCAACTGTTGCATGATTGACACGCGTCTTTTAAAGTGGTTGGTCCATGTCACGCTGGACCTTTATGAAAAGTTTGCAACGGGGCATAATATTAATCATTATAGGGACGCATCAATCAGAGCAAAGTCGCGACCGCGCCGTTGAGTGGTGGAAGTTAACAAGCTACACAAAGGCAAAACATTGTCCGTCCGAGAGGGCCACGATTCGACGGTAGATCGGGAGCACGACTCGGTGGTATTTTTATTGTACAAATTGGGGGAATTTTTTGAGTTTGGGAATTTATATGTCATTGTTGTTTACATGTTAAATCAAGCAAAAAGTAGATATAACATTGTCAATGCTTTGAGATTCGGTCTGATTTCCTTGTCTTAATTGCTGCATTTTATATGTGGGTGGGTGGAATCTTGTGATCCGGTTTAATAGGCGTCTGTTTGGATAATATATCTAAAGAGGCTCTTTTAATTAGTTTTATATTTTATCACGTAGAATAATCAAAATTATCCATTCTACCTACTCGGGAAATGTTTCCCTAGCACATGTTAATATGTCACGCACATGTTAATATGTCACTGTTAATATGTTATTATGTGACATACACACATTGATAATGTTAATATGTTATTAATATGGTGTACCAAAAAGAAAAATATATCATTAACATGTGTCTATCGTGGATAGAAGAATTTCCACTACCTACACTGATAACATTCCTGCACCCCAACCCTGTTCTCCTCCGCTCCTCGTCCGGTTCGAGCTCTCCAAGACCTGCAATGACGCCGGGAGGTGCTCCCGGCGGTAAACTTCCGACGCTCAAGTCAGTAAGGAGTAAAGGAAAATCGTCTATAACTGCAAGTAGTATTAGGGCTTTAGGTGTGTTAGTTTTTTACCTCCCCCCTTCTTTACCTATATATGTCGAATTATTAGCTCGTCCAACACGCCTTTGTCTCTCCTCCGTGAGATCGTTTATCTCCTTTTGATCCTGACGCTCCACGTGCCCCTTGTGGATCAATTTGATAACTGCAACTTCTGCTCCGTTCCCGGCCCACTTACAGTCCAAGCAATGCACATAGTCGAG